TTCGTCTAAAGCTAAAATCATGACGTAGGATAATGCCTTATAATCGTTTGTTCATGCATTAGATGGCATTGTTCGAGGGTCTGTTCTTTAGGATCTAGGGAGACCTTTTTGTCTTACCCAACTCCTATTCGGAAAAATTACGCAACATATTACAAACAAATCCGGTTCAGTCACGGTTTGTATCAAGATCAAACCAAGGTATTATACTCTTAGACATAATGGATGTAAATGCAAGAACTGTAGTCTGAAGTTAGCGAGGTAAACTTTTCACATTTATTACTGTAACCCCCTTCGGGCCAAAATCGAACTTATGGATGCAGTACATTTATTAGTCTACGAGATTCGCTCGAACTCAAGCTTAGATAGTTTGAAAGTGTAACCATTAATAAGCTGCGCGATGTTATCTGAATCTTTAGCCGTATCGATCTACTGGCAATAAGGTGGGGATAGGATTAAAATACTATTGCTTGCAATTGAAAAAATTGCGTTTATTACGTTTACGATCTTGCTCGTCACAACAAAATAAATGCAAATTACAGATATTAGACTAGTAGGTACACAAATTCATTCGTATCCATATCAAAGAAATGTGGAACACATATGCTAGGTTTAAACATCAAAATAAGATCCATATTTGAAAAGTCAACATCAAAAGGCTAATTGAAAAACAATCTTTTTAACCTATATTTGGAAGTTATCTTTAGAAAGGCATTAGATATAGCTCATAAATTAATTTGAATGAACAACATTAGATATGCTAATGACACAGCTACAAAATATAATTTTTTTTTGTTGAGTTTGTGACGTGAGTAATGTTATTTTCTGTACTTCTGTACAGTTGAATGTCATGGAAAAAACAAAATTACAAGTGAAATCTATTAAATATCTAGTATCTATCATCAATTGTTTGTGTGACGGGAAAAAAAAGCTGTCTTCTCCCTCTCTCTTTCGAAGAAAACTTTCGTAAGCATGAAAACATTTTTTACAAAAACAGATTTCACCATAGAGATCACAATTCGAATGACAAGGTGTCACATATTCTCCGTCTGGTTCTATCGGTATTAAACTGGGACCCTCCACTCGATATTTACCTCATGTATGAATTATTTCGTAATAGAGACAAAAGTACATTGAAAATGGTGAGTAGCAAGACTTCAAAATTCATGGCTAAAAGAGTTAAGAATATGGTTATACCGCTCGTTCAAGACAACAAGACTAGCAAACCACAACAGTGTTGTCAAAGATACTCATTAATCAGTCATTAATCAGTCCCCCCTTAATCCCCCTTCTTTATTCCACTGTTCTTCGCATTGATAGAACCCTATGGAGTTGGCAGTTTTCTCATGCCCTAACCTGCGGGCCCGGACAATTTGCATACAATAACAGCCGATGATGATTTCCCTGTAATTTAGATGCCGGAATTCGGAGGTGCTCATTAATATTTCATGCTATAATATTTGCCAGTCTAATCGCACGTGCAGCATTAATGGATACGTCAATATTGCGTTAGTGAATTCGTACATAGGGTTGGCTTTTCTAGGTGCATATATTTTTTTTTACATGCACCTCCTTCAACGATCATGCGAATCGCAGTTGACGTAATGAAATCATCGTTGCACTGTGAGAATTGGCACTATTTACTTTTTAGAATCTTCAGCAGTATGCATATGTATTTTGTCTCTTAGTTTGGATAATTCTATCTTGATAATGTTGCACTTCTCTAGTTTGAGAATCTTGTGCTAAATTCAGCAATGATATTGATCCTGATATTCATTGGACCAAATAAACTTTTAGACATGGCCTTCGAAGCTTTGTCAATTCCCAGTGATCCAATCAAGTCTAATAAACAAGCCATAGTAAAAAACAACTTTAAAAGTAAATTTTATAAAAATATATCACAAACCTTTTACTATATATATATATATATATATATATATATATATATATATATATATATATATATATATATATATATATATATATATATATATATATATATATATATATATATATATATATATATATATATATATATGTATGTATATATATATATATATATATATATATATATATATATATATATATATATATATATATATATATATATATATATATATATATATATATATATATATATATATATATATATATATATATATATATATATATATATATATATATATATATATATATATATATATATATATATATATATATATATATATATATATATATATATATACATATATACATATATACATATATACACATATATATATATATATATATATATATATATATATATATATATATATATATATATATATATATATATATATATATATATATATATATATATATATATATATATATATATATATAGGGACCTGAGCTACCATCTTGCTCAGTTTTTGAGTTGCCATGGATATTTTGCAACGTACTTCTGCAGATTCAAGCTGCGCCCGAAGCCACTGTGCCAGCACTGTGGAACACAGGTAGACGATGTAGAGCACACTATTTTTAAATGTCAGCGTTGGAGAAATATAAAAGCTAAATATAAAACTGACACCAGACAACATTGTAGACCAAATGCGCTAAGGTCGAGTAACGAATGGAACGTGATAAGCCGCATGGCAACTAGCATCATAACTGTCCTTCCTGGTGCACGAAAAACCTAATTTATTTATGAAAGTAGAAGTCGTGGTAATACATTTATTCGCTCCACTGAATTCAAAAAATATACATCTGTCATTATGTCATTATGGGTTCGTCAGGAATTTTACATAATACGGAAACAGTTAAAATAGAAATTACCCAAACTTAATACAAAAAATACGTAGGTTCAATACAATACAATAAGCATAATATACTAAACAATAAACGCCTACAGAAAAACAACCAAAATGCGTAGTTTACCCTTCGCCGTTTCATATTACAAAAGCCCTCTCCTTTCGCAAAGTTGTCTACACCAAACACCACCTGCATACTTTTTCGCAAAACGCAAGACAATCTTTTGTCTTCTGGGAGCGATCTAATTAACTGCCAAATTTAACCCCCGAAATTTTATTCGCGACATCATATCGCTTTCCAACTAATGACATCTTAATTAAAAATTTGTCAAACGAGAGCATTCAGAAGTTTCTTAATTATCATCCAGACAAGTTCTGTATTAAGTTTATATTAAAACGGCTACGTTGATACCGTTCAAAAATAACTAATTAATTTGTTACGCCTTAACAAGATGCGCGGAAAGTAAACAAACAAAAATGATTTTATTAATTAGTGTTCTAGCGACTAGCTTCGGGCTGCTTGTTCACCGTAAAGTTCCGTTGTTTCTCGATGATGTTGTTTGTGCCATCCAGTCCGGTTTGATAATAAACAAAACTTTATTTTGTTTTATACGGTGCATAATTAGTGAAATTTTTGGATAGAGCTTTGTTTCGCGGCACGAGCGGCTACGGTAGACATTGCTTTCTGATTTCACCTGGCGTTAATCTTTAATTTCGTTGCTTGCTAATTTTCAACGCGCATAACATACACTCGTGGGAAACCTATTTTTGATGTTTTGTCAACCCATTACTCCAGTTCCCGGCCAAAACAATTAAGGCCCTCATCCAATTCCAATCTTGAAGTGACAGTCTACTTCATTAAAGCTGCTGCAAAGACGTTTGGCGTATTAGACTGGTTCCAATTTAAAGTTTATCCCCCCGTTTTATGAGAAGTCAATTTCATCATACAACATGGATCCCCATTAATAACCTAGCAGCGAAGCGTTTGATGGAAATCTTTACGTCAGGCATCACGAGCGTCGTTTTTGTGTTGTCAAATAAGTGAACGAAAACCGCCGTTAGCTTAAACTTTTATTCATAATTGTTATGTTACCTCGCTTTAAATCAAACGTCGTGGGTTAAACCAAACGAACATGTTATATTGTTCTAATGGAGATGTTTAATACTATTTTGTTTGAAGTGCAGATAATTTAATGTTTAACATTTTATTAAAATTCATTTTATTTTTAATTTCATGCTAAAACATTTTCTAAATTACCATCATTTCGTTACTATAACTCACAACACTCAAAAAGGCAGTTAATAAATTTTCAAATTAAAACGTTTGGTTTTCATTTGTCCATAATCATCAATTTATCATCCTGCGCTACCTCGACGCTAATAAAAATTCTAACCTATCCATACCGATCCCATCCTACATTATGTTTCAAAAATACATAATTATTATGTAACTTTTAAAAACAAACCGATAAGTGACTTAAATCTTTTTTAAACAGCTGGTGATTAGTCTCTAAAATCTTTTTTTTTACGGATTGATTGAATAAATAATAAGGTAAGGTGAACAAAATGAGGAAAGGTAGTATCTCAGTGATCCACTTATTAAGAACAAAAAATTGAAAATAGATGGATTTTTTGCTTCTAGTACTATGATAATAATATAAAGAATAGTATATTATGAAACAAGTGCTGTAAACGGCATTTGACTCAAGAGTTTATTTGACACGAGCGGAGCGAGTGTTTAATAGACGAGTGACTTAAAAAGTTTACCGAACGTGTTGCAATTTCGCAACACAACACGAATACATTCACTAACATGACCGTCAGAATTGACAAACGTCACAATTCAAGGCGTGGGAAATATCTCCGAAAACATCCGATTGCTCCCAAACCGCAGCGATAAAATTCCGGAAATGTTCGAAGTGGCTCGGATTCATGGGAAACGAAAAAAAAAAAAATATATATATATATATATATATATATATATATATATATATATATATATATATATATATATATATATATATATATATATATATATATATATATATATATATATATATATATATATATATATATATATATATATATATATATATATATATATATATATTTTTTTTTTTTTTTTTTTTTTTTTTTTCGGAAATCATACATTCCTGAACCTTCGATAGTAAAACTTATTAACAAACCTGAACCACGTTGACAATCCTGAACCTGTATATTGGATCAGGATTGTTTTCTTGTCATATTTCACGTAAACTTTGATATTTTTAGATATAATACAAACTAGAATTAGAGGCGCCATCGGGTCGCAAAAGTGGCTAACTTTTGTTTCAGTGGCTCAATTGGAACCTTATAGAAATCTATTTTTATGGTGGTTCAGGATCGTATGGTATATCTAGTATTTTAGTTCAACTATTTGGCCGTTTTTGGCGCTGCAGACAATTTCAAAATTATACACGTTTCTCTGTGTATATCTTACCATTAGTCCAATCCTGATCCACACTACATGGCAACACTGTTAGTTATTTTTTTGAGGCAGTGAGATCGCAAACTAAGTTTTATAGAGTTGGAATTTTGTATACCGTGGTTCAGGTTTGTCATCGTTCTTGCGTCGGCCTCGCGTCGGTCGTCGGTTTGAAAATGAATAATAGCGGCCGTTGCAAATTAATGGTTGATTTGTGTTTAGCGAAAGGTAAGTTATTGTCTCTTTCTCCTTTTTCTCTTTCTACACAAAAAGTATTTTTTCGAGGATCCACGTTAAAACAATAAAATTTTTAGAAAAGAAAACGACAGAAGTTAGTGATAATTGTTCGAATATTTCCGAAAATTATTTGTCACCACCTCCATCAGAAATAAATAAATTAAATAAAGATTCGCCTTTAAATGTGAAATCTCATTCTTCAAATTCAAATATTTGTTTTCAAAATGATGAAAATGCAAAAGAAGAGGATGGAAGGTCTGTAATTGATCAAGTTGTGGCTGATGTGTATTTAATGAATAGGAATAGTAAGTACTTATTCAAATGTTTCATATTATCGATTTATTCACGGAATAAGTTTGTTTATTTTTCCCATCCTACTAGAAAAAAAGTTGCACCTAACACGTGTGTAAAATGCATATTCGCACTTAATTGCTGTCTGAACTGCGCTTGGCGTAGTACGGCCATGTGCAATCGTGTGCGGAAAAGGGGAACTTTCTACACGTGTTAGGTACAACTTTTTTGGTACGAGTGATGCAATAATCCAAAGACTTCTAAACAATATATATTCGCGATAAAATATTGTTATTGTATGTATTTTTAGATCAGAAAATAAGAAGCTCTGATACTGCATGCTGTAATACTCAGAAAAATAATTTATCACCTGCGAAAATACAGATCATTGAAGATTGGCTTTTGGGTGTAAAGCCTAAATGTATATATTCAAAACTTTCTTCTCAAAATGATCAGTCAATGATGATCAGAAAACATAACGGTGATGTCAGATCTACAGATGATCAAACTAAAGGATTACCAGATGAACGAGAGTCCTGTGTGAATAGTGCTGATATTGAAAATGACGACGATTCTGTAGAAGATCCTGATTATATTCCAGATGACTACCCAGCTAAAAAAAAAAGGTACGCTATTCGCTTAATTCTTTTTGAATTTGATTAAGCTTTAAAATTGCAGTTTTTAAATTTAAAAAAGCTACCAAGAAACCTCTTAGCCACTGATTGTCAACCACGGATACTTGGAGAATTGCAAGATGAAAGGAGAAGTGATAATGTAGCTCAACAAATTTCAGATCTTGCTCTAGAAAATGAGGTAACCTACTATTTGTACGTAATGTAGGAGAAAAATAATTTTGTTACTAAAATGTTTGTTAATTAAACAATTTCGTCGGAAAAGAAAAAATTTCAGTTACAACCGTCCTATAATACAAAAAGTAATAAATATTGCTTCATCCCTTATTTAGGAATACAAGTTAAAGAAAGCAGATAGTTTAACTATGTTATTGTCATAGTTCTATTGAAAGGTTGCAGTTTAATTGAAAATCATGTTGTTGACGATGTTTTGTCTGCATTTAAGATGAAGATTATACTTAAATTTTATTTAAAATTTGAAACAAACATTTTTCGATCTATACAGCTCTAGTAGTTAAATTTGTGACTATTTTTAAGTTTTCACCATTTCTTTCAGCCAATGGTGGAAAAAGCATTACGAAAGAACTACAAAGATCGGAGAGATTTTTGCCTCTATTGCGAAAAAGATGTATCGCATTTTGCTAGACATGTTTCTAAATGGCACTCCGAGGAGATTGATGTAGTCAGACTACTTTGTCATCATGTTAATTCAAAGGAGAGAGGACTTAAAAAAAAGGAAATTTTATGAAAAATAGGGCAGATACTGTAGTAAGACCTGTCAAGAGATTAAAAATTACTGAAAAATTTTCCACCTCAGACGAGTATCTTCAATGCAAATATTGTTTAGGTTACTATAAAAAAAAAGTTTATATAGGCACACCAAAATATGTCCATCTAATTATAATAAAGAAAACAAAAGAAGACAACCTTCCCAAAGCGATGGACAAACTGCTTTACTTTTACAAAGTTTTAAAGAAGACGATTTATTGAAAACTAAAATTTTCTGTAGAATGCGCGCAGACGACATAAGCTTTATAGCTAAAAAGATACTTTAATTAAATTAATTAATTAAAGGGCCGCCAAAGTAAAGGTAATATTGACTTGGTAAGACAAAATATGCGAAGACTTGCAAAACTTTTGCGGTGTGCTAGAAAAGAGAAATCCGCCGTTCAGAATCTTATAGATCTTCTCCGACCAAAAAACTTTAAACTAATAATATCTGGAGTGAATAAAATTGCAAAATATAATACGCAAACAGAAAATTATGAATCTCCAACTTTGGCTATTAATTTTGGAACACTTATAAAAAAATGTTGTGGCCTCGCATATATTAATCTCGTTCAAATGGAAAACACATGCGATCAACGAAAAGATCTTAAAATATTAAAGAACCTAATAGAATCTCAATGGTGTAATAAAGTTTCTGCGCAAGCATGTACTAATTTAAATGAAAGTAAATGGAACAAAGAAGAATTATTGCCTCTTACTAGCGACCTAAAGAGGCTTAATATTTTTTTGCAAAATGCTGCAGAGCAATCATTTAACAGTTCAAATGAACACAATTTCAAAGCCTATAATTCATTAAAAGAAATATTGTATACCCAAGTTATTCTTAACAGAAGGCGACCACTGAGGTAGCTCAGCTAAAAGTCCAAACTTTTAAATCAATTAATTTAGAAAGCCGCGTTTAACAGAATCCGAAAAGATTTTATTAAAAACCTACAGTCGTTTAGTTATAAGAGGGCAGCGTGGAAGGGTACCCATATTATTATCACCAATAATGAAAACGCATTTCGAATGTATTTTGCAAACTAGAGATAACTTCGCAATTCAAAGTGATTTTGTGTTTCACACAACTGGTCGAGGGTTTGTTGATGGAAATAAAATTATTCAAAATATGCCAAGAAATGCCAACTTGAGAAAGCTGCCAATATAACAGCAACAAAACTTCGAAAGCATTTAGCTACCATCACTCAACTTCTTTAGTTTTCAAATAACGATATGGAGCAATTAAGCAAATTCATGGGCCACACATTACAAACTCATTCAAACTTTTACCGTATGTCCGATAAAGTGTATCAAACAGCTAAAATTTCAAAACTTTTACTTTTAATGATGGAAGGCGGAGCCGACAAATATAAATCTAAAACACTAGATGAAATTGATATTGATTTATCCCCTGTTTTTGATTGTCTTTAAATAATTCAGGATATTGATTAGAGAATTCAGTAACTTCTTGCCGATTCGGAGCTTTTCTTTCCGAAATTTTTGTTTTTTGTAAGTTTGTCCATGATTGTCGTTCGTTAATGGGGATTGACTTTTTTGGTGTCATCGCTTTTGTTGGTATTTCAGAATTATTTGATGGCAACTCGCAGTCAATGTTCAGATTATTGTTACTTGTATAGATTGTTTCCATTTCTTTATTATCAAAAACAGGGGATAAATCAATATCAATTTCATCTAGTGTTTTAGATTTATATTTGCCGGTTCCGCCTTCCATCATTAAAAGTAAAAGTTTTGAAATTTTAGCTGTTTGATACACTTTATCGGACATACGGTAAAAGTTTGAATGAGTTTGTAATGTGTGGCCCATGAATTTGCTTAATTGCTCCATATCGTGATTTGAAAACTGAAGAAGTTGAGTGATGGTAGTTAAATGCTTTCGAAGTTTTGTTGCTGTTATATTGGCAGCTTTCTCCGGTTGGCATTTCTTGGCATATTTGTGAATAATTTTATTTCCATCAACAAACCCTCAGCCAGTTGTGTGAAACACAAAATCACTTTGAATTGCAAAGTTACCTCTAGTTTGCAAAATACATTCGAAATGCGTTTTCATTATTGGTGATAATAATATGGGTACCCCTCTTCCACGCTCCCCTCTTATAACTAAACGACTGTAGGTTTTTAATAAAATCTTTCCGGATTCTGTTAAACGTTTTTCAAATTCGTTATTGGAATCACTTTCTAAATTAATTGATTTAAAAGTTTGGACTTTTAGCTGAGCTACCTCAGCTGGTCGCCTTCCGTTAAGAATAACTTGGGTGTACATTTCTTTTAATGAATTATAGGCTTTGAAATCGTGTTCGTTACATAACAAAATTTTACCGGGGCGTAGATTAACGGTATTGCTTTGGCGCCTTGGCACAGACTGTGTTGTTTCTATTAGTACGTCCCAACATGAAAATTTTTGGCTATCGACGATAGTCTCGATATATCTGTTTTACAATATATGTGTTTCATCATCTATATATATTTCTAAGGCATCATTTTTGCGTATCAGTAGATTACCGTTATTACCGTAAAAAAGATATATGGACGGGTGCATTATTTCGTTTTTTAGTCTTAGTGCGATAGCTGCTAAGTTAAATTTTTAAATTATCGAATTGAATTTCTTTTTATTTCCAAAGCCGAACAAGTAGAACTATAGCGGCTGTTGCTGTTTTATTTTTGCAATTCGCAATTGATACGAATGTATTTGAAATTAAGTTGACTTCTAAAGGAAAAAGACGATACATTAATACGATACGTTTTCACGATACGTACATACTCCACAAATGGATATATCTGGCCTTGTAGATAAGTAAAAATTACCAATATTCTCTGTGACCAAGCGTCTTAAACGTTTGCAATAGCTTCGAATTGACGGTATCTTCGGATTGCAGGATTTCTTTCTCAAAAATACCTGATCATTGGTTACTATTTTTGCAGATATAAAAATCAAACTTATCGCTGATAGTCGTCGCATCACACCATGTCTTTACCACTGCAACTAGCTTATACGGACTACCACTAAGGACAAATATAGCCGGTTGCCCTTTGTATTTCAGTGAAGTACGATGAGAAATGGATTCGCGGAATGTATGTGACATATTTCTATACGACGCGGCTTGGTGTCAGACAATACTACAGAATTGTGTTGCGGGAAAGCCTAATGAAGCAGTTACACACCAATTGTGATAGCAAAAGGGAATGGAACGGGCGGGCAAGGGACGTTTCAGTTTGTCGTGACAAACCGCATTCAATTTCCAGCTGTGTGCTTGTGTACTTCACATTACGGTGCATTCAATTTAATTAAAGTTTAAGGGATTGAGAAAAGCAAGGCCGTCGTGTAGACGAGGTTGAAGTAATTTGGGGTTGATTAAAAGGCGATTTGGGGATTGTTTTGTCCTCATTGTTTCCGGCAAATAAAAGGATTGCCGTTGGTAACTTGAACGAATAATTTTAGTTTCGTTATTCCTGCGCTCATTTTAAACGGGAAAAAACAACACCGCGAATCGCCGTTCGCTTTAAAACGAGGTCGATCAAACTTCATTTGAACAGTTTGAATTTTTCACCATTTTGAACGTGCTCCGGCCTTCCGGCGACCACTATCGACTAACTCAAATTGTAATTACCAAATGTGTGTGTAATAGGACTCATCGAAGCGCCGAAAACATCCCCTTGATGGTACCTATCCACCGAGAGTAGGGCATACGACACATTAAACAGGCCGGTTGATCAAATAACAATTGGCACGAGCTCCAATAATTTTGTATCTGGGTCCGAAAATATCGAAAGTAGTTTATCGAACTTCTACGCACCATTTCGCAAATTTTAAAAATAAGGAAAATTGTTCTGCAAATATTCAAGAAATTTCCTCATAACTCTGTAAAATGGATGTTTTTACTTTTCGAGGCGTTGCAGAAAAATTTATTTTTATTATCTAAATCGTTGAGAATGGAGGTCTCTACAGCAATTTACTTTTATCACCTTTTTTACTTTTTTTATACCAGTGCTCTTCTGACAATTATCGAGATAACAGGAAAATCATACAATATATTCCGGGATATCATCCGTTCGTTTAATGAACTCCGACTGGAATCCTGCAGACGTTCGCCAAGATCTCACTTGGCTTTTTCTATGCTCGCGCTATAATAAAATAAAAATTTATAATAAAATAATAAATTATAAAAAAATAAAAATTTGGAAAATATATTTAATAATTAATGTTGCTAATGTTTCGATTTATCTTTATTTTGCGTAAAAATAAGGTTTAACTTGAGTTCGTTTTTCGACATGCACAAAAAAAATAGTGTGCTTTCAAAATAAAAGCTAACTTGTGCAATTTGTCCAATAGCTGATGTCTGTGTATTTCGTATGGTTAATTTCTTCTAACTTCTGTTGATATATTCCACGTCTATGATGCTGTGGGATTCGCAAGCTTTATTATTGCTAAGAAACTTAAAGCGAGAGCAATCATGAAATACCTTTTTTCTTCGTCTTGTTCAAAAATACTTAACTCATGCGTTCGTAACGCACCCGAAAACTAATGCTCGCAGAGAGAGTTAGCGAACACGTGAATAAACTTTTAATAATTACTTACTCCACTAGCGTCAAAAGAAA